TTTTGTTTTTTTTTAATTGGGTCTAACTTTTTAACCCTTTTTCCTAGTCTATGTCTTTTAATTAGAGAAGTAAGGCCATTTACATGAGCTCTTATTGGAGGTGTAGACTTGTTCCTGTCATTTCATTTTTCTTTCTTTATCTTCCAAATTTGTTGCTCATTTCTTGAAGTTGGATGGTTTCCTATATTGATAATGTTTGATTTTTTGCTATTTCTCATTTGCATATCACGTTGGCAGAACTGGGATCCTGTTTCTTGTAAGCGTTTTTGTTTCAGTGTCAGTGAATTTAAGAAGGAAAATAAAGTCAGTCTTGCTACTAGTTAGTAACTTCGTAAATTATTGTTTGGGAGAAAGTAGTATTCTATACCTGTTTTATGAGCTTTAAATTTTTTAAAATTTGAGGGTAGAACTATTTCTTTTGTCTTACTATTATAATTGAATATCATTTCATTTACACTTCATTGATTCTATTTAATTTCTTTTTTTTTTTAAACAGGGTTTTTCTACACAGTTCAGATTTGTACTGATCCTCTTGTCTCAGCCTCCCCAGTGCTGGGATTACAGGTGTGCACTACCACGCCTGGTTCGGGGGTTCTGGGGATTGAACTCGGGTCCTTCCATTTGCCAGACAGGCACTTAGACTGCAGAACTATCTCCCCAGTCATCATTTTTTATTTATTTATTTATTTATTTATTTATTTATTTATTTTTGGCGTTACCAGGGGTCACACTCAGGACCTTGCACTTGCCAGGCAGGCGCTTATGCCACTGAGCTATATCCCTGGCCCCCCACATTTTCTTATAATTCTTTATTTTTATATTCAATCCAGAGACATTTGTGTAAGATCAGAAAATCATGTATCATTACAGCTGTTTGTCTAGCATAGACTATTAGCTGGCGTGAAAGCTTCACAATGGTTAATAAGTGAGAGCTTGTTCTGATATATTTTATCATTGTTTTAGAATTGCTTCAGTTCTGCATGAAAATTTGGAAAAATATGGACCAATAGAGCTATTGAAGATAACTCAAGCATTAATTTTTCTGCATTTTCAAAGTAAAGAGGTTTTCATGAAACTCAGAGAATTACTACTTAGGTAAGTTTTTTTTTCAAAAGAAATGTCCGGGCTGGTGAGATGGCTCAGTGGTCTAAAGCACCTACTTAGAACAAGCTTAGCAAAGCACAGGGACCGC